TGGCTTCAATAATTGTCAACTTATGGCCAATTTCGTTTCATCTATACTCCTACTCCCCCTCCCACATTATTCTGAAGCAAATCCCAGGCATATTATTTCTTCTGTAAATATTTCAGTACATATTTCTAAAAAACAAGGCTCTTAAAAAAAACCCACATCATCACCATAATTAATAATCGGTCCTTAGTAACATCAAATATCCCATGTTCAAACTTTTCAGTTGTCTATAAATGACATAAACATTTGTTATCGTTCTTTTTCAGACTGCTTGTTTGAATCAGGATGCAAATGAGTCCACACATTTATAATTGGTTGATATGTCTCTTACGTTTCTTTTAACCTTTAGGTTTCTCCTTCAGCACTATTTTTTCCCTGTAATTCATCTATAGAAGAAAGTGGGTCCTGCATAGTTTCTCCATAGTTTGGATTTTGCTGATTGCATCCATGCAGTGTCATTTAACATGTTCTTTACCATATTCTTCTGTTCCCTGTATTTCCTGTAATTTGATAAATTTGATCTAAAGGCTTGACCAGATTCAGGATCTCTTTTGTTGGCAAGACTTCTTCACAGGTGATATGTTCTTCCGTCAGGATGCACATAAAAGGTGGGTGCCTCTCTTGTTGTGATACTAGCAGCCATTGATGATCAATGCCTAGATCCATTAATCCATTAGGGATTGCAAAAATGGTGATATTCTAATAATCCAATCATTCCCACTTCATTTTTTTTTTAACTGAAATGCTTCTATAAGGAGAAATTTCCCCTCACCTACTATTTGGAAACTTGGCTTTAAATGGTGTTATTTTGTCTGGGGAGGGTAACATATTAGTTAATATATGAAATGATTAATTTATCAGATAAAAAGTTACAATGAATCATTTTCTTTAAGGTTGTAGAAACCCTCACTTTGAGGGAAAAGGAGAATATAAATACAATTGAGGGAGAGAAGGTAAATGGTGATCCGAAAACTGAGATATCTGGGAAGAGAAGTAAAGAAAGAAGAGGGCCGGCCCTGTGGCTTGGGCCGGCCCTGTGGCTTGGTGGTTAAGTGCGCGCGCTGCGATGCTGGCAGCCCGGGTTCGGATCCCGGGTGCGCATTGAGGCACCACTTCTCTGTCCATCCTGGGGCCGAGTCCCACATCCAGCAACTAGAAGGGTGTGCAGCTATGACATACAACTATCTACTGGGGCTTTGGGGGCAAAAGATAAAATAAATAAAATTAAAAAAAAATAAATAAATAAAATTGTAAAAAAAAAAAAAAAAGAAAGAAGAAACACAGATGCTTAAAGGTAACACTTTGCTAAGTCTATTCTTATCTGGCATATAAATTCCCAGTTCAAAGCCCATCTTACGGCTTTGAATACTGTTTACTTACTGAGGACTCCTGCTTTCATACTTCTAGTTCAGATCTCTCCCCAAGTTTTGCACAGCAGTCAAAGTCAAAACTCTACCTGACATCATTACTTTGATATCTAAAAGATATCTCCAAGTTAACATATCTAAAATGGAATGTTTAGTTTTACCCCCAAATTGTGACTCATATCTTTCCTATTTCAATAAATGGCATTACCATCCACCAGTTGAAAAAGCCAAAAAAATAGGAGTAATCTTTGACTTCTTTTCCCAGTCCCTGCAATCAATCACCAAGAGCTGTTGGTTTTACCTTGAGATTATTAATTTCTTCTTTCTCTTATTAATGACACTACCCTAAACCAAATCACAATTGTTGAGAAAAAAATTGTACTATTACAATAGTTTTTTGGCTTCCTTTCTGACATGTTGGTCCCCTCTAGTCCATTCTCCACAATAAGAGAGTGATCTTTCTAAAATGTTAATCAAGGATCATGAGCTGATAACTGTTGAAGCTGGCTGATGGATTCATTATACTAATTTCTTCCCCTTTGTATAGCTTTGAAATTTTCCAAGTTAAAAAAAATAAAGTGTTATTCAGATTATTTTATCTTACCCTCTTATCATTTTACTTCTCTGCTGACTTCTCGATGTTCTTAGAATAAAATCCAAATGTCTTGCCTAGGCCTGTGAGCCCCAGTCTGCCCTCTGTCTACATGTCCAGCCTTATCTATGCCACTCTTCTCGCTCACTCTGCCCAGGCCATAACCTGTCAGTTCTAAGAACTCTTTAAGCTCTTTCTTATCTTAGAGCATTTGTGCTTGTTATTCCCTCTATCAGAAAATGCTCATCCCCTAGCTCTTTGCAAGGCTGGCTCCTTCTCTTCCTTCAGGTCTCAGCAAAAATATCACCTCCTTAGAGAGCCCTTTCTTAACCACTCAAGCTAAATTAAAATTAGATCCTCTTCCTTCACCATTACTCTCTATTACATTATTCTGTTTATTTCATTTCTTACCACAATTTATAATTATCTTGTTTGTTTATATTTATACAAATATACTTATTGTTTATTATGACAAGAAAGTAACTCGAATGAATATTTAAAGATATTTGAGGGCACATACCCACTCACATTCTACTCTATTCTATTCATGTTATAATTCCAATTCTTTGAAAAATTGGTGGATAGAATACAAATTTTAATAATCTTGCATCATAAACAAAGACTTATAAACAAAATAAGATTTTGATCAGGAGAGTAACTTCTTGAAATTGAAATTTTAGGAGGACAGTGGTATGCAATATGGCTTGGAGAAGGAGAAATAGGAATTAGAAATGTCTATTTGAACATACTCTCTCTTTGATTCTAAATTTCCCAATGTTTCTGAAGTGCTGAATAATTTTAAGTGACAGCCATTGTTTGATTTAAACATTTAACCTCTGGAATTTTTTTTTTTAATATATATATTTTTAAATAATTTTATTTATTTATTTTTTCCCCCCAAAGCCCCAGCAGACAGTTGTAGGTCATAGCTGCACATCCTTCTAGTTGTTGCATGTGGGCCGCGGCCTCAGCATGGCCAGAGAAGTGGTGCGTCGGTGCGCGCCCGGGATCTGAACCCGGGCCGCCAGCAGCGGAGCGCGTGCACTTAACCCCTAAGCCACGGGGCTGGCCCGTAACCTCTGGAATTATAGTCTGTATTATTAACATAACACTTCTCTCATTTTTAGGACCACTATATTTAAATTTTATCATCTGTTAATTTCAGGCAACTCTCCTAGTGGTGTAATAAAGAATTCAACAAGCATTTTTGCAGATTCTCTCCTTTGCCAATCATTGTCCTGAGTGTCATAGGATTCATCTAAACTGTGTTAGACTAAATGCAAGGCTACATAAGCTAGCCTCCCAAACCAGGGAGCAGATGGAACCTGTCTGCCAGTGATCTGAAGGATGCCCCTCGTATGACAGAATTTTAGAACTGAAGATATCTTAGAGATCATGTAATAATCCAAGGCCCTCATTTTAAAGTGGGTGAAACTTGTTCTAACAGGTTAACTGACATATTCTTCCCAAACACAATTTCCTAATTTGGTAAATCAAATCTCACTTTGTGAGGCCTTTAAGGAATTATACAGTAAGTTAGTACCATATCAACATCTGGAACACAGGGCTTCTATGTCATAAATCCATTATTTTCATTATATTAACATAAACCCTGCTTTTTCCTCCTTTCCCACATTTTTTTTTTTTTTTTGGTGAGGAAGATTAGCTCTGAGCTAACATCCGTTGCCAATCCTCCTCTTTTTGCTGAGGAAGAGTAGCCCTGGGCTAACATCCATGCCCATCTTCCTCTACTTTGTATATGGGATGCTGCCACAGCATGGCCTGATCAGCAGTGCCTAGGTCTGCGCCGGGGATCTGGGCCTGGGAACCCCGGGCCTGCCCAAGAGGAGTGAGCGAACTTAACTGCTAGGACACCGGCCAGCCCCCTGCATCTTTTGAGTCTTTAAATCTTCTCAAATTATTTCAGTGACCTCTGCTGTTCCTGAGACAGCATCAAGATTCCAACATTTTCTTCTGTTTTTAAAAATGGTTTGATTTACCACTATTCTAAACCAATAGTGCATAAACTCAATAGAATACATTTCATATTGGCACCTCCTTCAAGTCTATTAGCCCAAGGTGGGTTAATCGCTGCACATAATTTGTTTTGTTCAGATTCTTTGAAAAGTTATTCGTGGATTTGATGGGTGTTTTGAGTAAAGAAGATGGACATCTCTTGTGTAAAATAAATGGGTACCCAAATTGACAATGCTGTGGCAGGCTGGTCATCAGTGGCAATGCTGATTAAGCATTTATGGGGCCCAGTCCATATAACCATTGGGTACTCTGATGCACAAAACATTCTAGAAGCTAGAGACGATTCTGTCTCCCTTATATAGGGACTTGCATTTCACATAGTTAAGGGGCCCAGGGCAAGGCTTTATAATCTATTTAAGTATGCTCCACATACCTTGACTATGTCACCCCAGCAGTTTTCCCAGCTGCTGATGACAGCGTAGTTTGTCTGTTCAGACGGTGATGGACGCTGATTATCTTCTAGTTCAGGGTTTTAAAATACGCCCATAAAACGAGAAGGACCTTGAAGACATATTTAGACCTTTTCCTCTCCTCTGGTGGAACCACACCCAAATCATTCCAACCAGATGAAACTCCCTCCTGTTTTTACATACGAGCAGACAGACTCCATAACCTTCCTCATCCTTTGCTGGGCACTCACAGTGGGCAGAACTCTGGTGGCAATTCCACCCCTCACTGCAGGACCCGTGATATCCCGGAGTTGAAGCCCACTTCCTTCCTGACCGCTGAAACCCAGCTAAGCACCTCGGAGCGCTCTGCTGCGACCCCCAACTGGGTGGACAGCCCTCGACCGGCTCGGCGGCCCCTACGCATCAGCGGGGCGTGGTCCGGAGCTGTATAGTTGTCCAGAACTGTAGGGACCCGGGGCCACAGCCGGAGGGGCGGTGTGGGCGCACGCCGCTCTCGCGAGAGCTCGCGGGAGGGGGCAGCGGGGGGCTGGAGGTGAGGAGGAGAAGGAGGAGGAGGAGGTGGGGGAGCTGCGCGGCGGCGGCGGCTGTTCTCCCGGGAGCAAGCGAGCAGCCCTTTCCCCGCCTCCCTTTCCTTCCCCTCCCATTGACTGATTCGAGCCGTGCGCTTCCCACTTCCGCCCCCTCTGCCTGCCATTGGAACTAGCGAAGCCGAACAAGTTGCGGCCGCCGAACGGCCGGCGCTCCCCTCCTCCTCCTCCTCTCCTCCTCTGCCTCTCTCCTTTCCTCTGCTTCCCCGGCCGCCGCCGCCGCCGCCCCGAGGCCTCGCGACCGCCGAGCCCGCAGCCCACGCCGCGGCCGACATGAGCTTCTTCTTGTGAGTAGCCAGGCCCCGCGCCGCCGGCTTTGTTCGGGCGACCTGGGCCGCGGCCCCCGCCCGCCTTGCCCCGCGCTGCCCCGGCCGCTCGTTCCCACCGAGCCGGTCTCCGGGAGCCGGCCCCGAGCGCTCGCGCTGCCCGACCGCCGCCGCCGCCCTGGCCCGCTTCGAGCGCGCGTGCAGTCCTCCAGCTCCCAAGGAGGCTCCTTCTCCCGGTCCCCAAGTCCGGACACACCGCGGCGCCTGAGTCCGCAGTGCTCCATCACCCCAACCTTTCCCTTCGCTCTCCTCTTGGGTTGGTTGGTTTGCACGCTGCACATAGATACCTCCCATTCTCCCGCATGACCCGGATCCGACGCGTGCCCGGTCGCCGATCTCGGTCTCGCTTGCCCTTTGCTTTTTTCTAGGTCCCAAGCACAGAAGATAGAGCGTCGTACTTTCCCCCGTCACCCCAGGACCCTTTTAACTTCCCTCTTAGGTTTTAGGAGTGGGAGGTTGGGATGACAAGTCCTGTGGTTGTAACACACTTAACGAGGCTGCTTGCGAGTCAGGATCCCCTGATGACAGCCTGGGTCTTGGGGTGTGGAGCAGCTCCCTGCTTCTCCGAGGCGCCCTTCCTCCCAGCTTGCTCCCCTGAAGAGAGTACGGGCTTTATCTTTTTAGACAACCACCAGAGTTTGGGTAGTGTGCCCTGGGCTGATTAGGTCCACTGGGAGTTGTTTTGCAAATGATTTGTAAATGCCAGCTTAACGTCACATTTAGTGCTGGTCATTACTTCACTTATCGTTTATTGCAGACGAGTTTTAGGGGGAAGGGCAGAAAGATGGGATGGCTAGGTGGGGCTATGGAGACAGCAGACAAGCCTCAGGTTCTCCGAAAACAGGACCTTACACCCTGGGGAATTCCTCTTTTGAGGGCTTCGTTGTGATTCACCTATGTTTAATCTGTGGTTAGAAAGCCAATAAAAACTCGGAGATTAAAATTCACCCAATACACTCCTTTACTGTCGTGGAGAAAATAGTGTTCAGAGATTATATTCTCTTCTGATTCTTTTTTTCCACCTCCCATAATTTTTGGTTATCACATTGGCACCCGAATCCTGAGAATTTAATTAACCCTTATTTTCACATGTTCATATATAGACTATTAATCCTTTTTAGGATGTTTAAGCAACACAGTGATCCCAGAAAGCTAACTGGCAGGCAGACTTGCTAATATTTCTAATATGTACAGGGGGGCCTGGCTTATGTCAATCTGCCTGACACATTTGAGCTTGCGAAACCTCTTTCTTAGGCTCATCCTAGAAATTGATTCTGAGTTTGTCAGATAGGTAGTGCTAGATGAGAGGACTGGGTGACTTCATAAATGTCTTTGTTTCCTATTTTAGTTTGAATCAACATATCCAGCCATCTCAGCTTGAAGCTTCTCATCTTGAGTATATTGTACATTGCTGATGTTTGATTTCTTTAAGAATTTAAAAGCTGTCTTTGAAATAGCAGTGTAGATGATGTTCATGACTGATGCCGATGGGCTTGTGTGCCTTGAAACACAGTTAAATTGGTTGAAGCAGGGAAGAAACATATTTGGCTGAAACTAGGGAGTGGAGAGGGTTTTGGTGGTATTTTCTGAATACAAATACAATACTATCCTGTTTTTACATGGCTCAGTATTTAATAGTTTTAGAAATGCAGTGGATAAATTCATGTTAGCATGTTAGCTACGTAAGAACAATCTTTCCATAACTAATGTGTGTAGCACATTAGGGGGTGTGTACTATTTGGGGCACTAGTTTTCAGTTAGGTCACATAGCAGTTAATATATTCTCAAAATATTTAGCCCATGTGCTTGACAATCCAAAAAAGTTAATCCAGCATTCTTGGTTTTAGTTTTTGTCCACCAGTAGTTTAAAATCTAAAGTGAAGACCTTATAGATAGAAATAATTATTATCAGAAGTAAAAGAACAAAGTTTTGATTATTTCATCTATTTGTTATTTGGTTCAGTTTCTTGACTATTACTTCTGTACCAACAGGTGGAGCAGAGAAAATAAGAGTTGCAGCTTAGGAGTTGATTCCAACTATTTTCCTCTAGTTCTTGGAAGTTTACTTGTAAGGCTACTATAAGTGGACGGAGTCGAGGAAATGAGGGCAATGTGAGATAGGGATGTGAAGGTGATGACTCATAACTCTCAAGGGCTTTAAGATAGAAGGAAAGCATTATTGATTAAAAAAAACTATTCATTGTGCCAGGCACTGATGTAGGCATTGGGTATCATTTATGAACAAAACAGACAAAAATTCCTGCATTAGCGGAGCTTGTGTTCTGGTAACTGACCATGAATGCTGAACACCAATAAATTATATAGTACGGTAGGAGGTCGTAAGCGCCATGGAACCAAGTAGAGCAGGCTAAGAGGTTTTAGGATAAGAAGGTGGGGTAGATTAGGTAATCCCCAGAGGGTGCCCAGATAATCTGCAGCAGTGGTACCTTTGTGTAGCTTTTGTACAAATGCTCAGAATAAATTTGCACTGTGTATGTGGATCTGACTGGAGCAAAGCTTTGGTTGTGCTGCAGATTGGCCTCTGTATCTTCAGATTAAGCTGAACTCCCAGATGGTGCATACGGAAACTTCACAGGAACCTAATTTAACTTTGTAGACTCAAATCTTTAAATACATCCTCAGCACCTGCTGTGTGCTAGGCATTGAGCAAGATGTGGGATGCCAGAGATGATAGACAGTTTATGAATAGTCATCTGTAATAGATGCAAAACAATCATAGGAGTCCAAAGAATATGGAGCAGTTTGTTCTGTTTGGGCTGGAGGAAGGTTTCATGAAAGAAGTGATGGATATTTAATGGAAGGTATAACAAGAGTTCTCTAAAAGGGTCAAAGGAAACATCTTGGAGGCATGAAATTGACTGTGAGTTGTCCATTTTCACATTTGTCCAAGAGGTTATAGAATTTTGGAGCTAGATGGATCTATCAGTAACGTAGCTTACTCACCTCTTTTTGCTCAAGTGGCAAAATCACCAACTTCAGATTACTGGCCTAATTGGTGGCCTGCGTAGAATTGGAACACAGGTCTCTTGCTTTAGGACTTTTCCTGTCTTGGCATTTTATACGTATAAAATTCAGAGATATTTAGGATCAGAGTGAGTTCTTAATCACTCAAAAAGTGTATTGAGTGTTCTCTATGTTTCTAGCATTTTTAAATTGCAAGTCTCTTCTGACTGATGGAATTCTTCAGAAACATTTGACTTGGAAAAGTCTAAGGTGTAATTTCCTAATGTAAGGCTAATTGGTTGGAACAGAGTTAAAACAAATACAGTTAACTTTAAAATGGAAGTCTGTAGGAAAGGTGGTTTAGGGGTGTGAATGAATATAAATCAGATCTATTTCTGCAGAGGAAGAAACAAAGAGGTTGGGAAAGAAAGGAAATATTTATGGAGCATTATGCTAGATACCTTCCGTTTGTTTTCTCAAAAGAATAGCAATTTAGGAAAGGAGAGCCAGGGCTTTAGCTGTGTCTATATGTGTCTCTGACTTTCTCCCTCTCCTACCTCTCTTTTCTCTCTCTCCTCCTCCCCCCTCCCCCCCAATCCCAGCACGTTTGTTTTCAGGCAAATGATTTAACTGATTTTGGTGCTTCAGCATCCTTACCTGTAAAAGAAGTTAATAATAATAATAGCAATAAAATAGCTTGCTAAGTGTTCACCATGTGCTGGGTGCTAAGTGCTTTAAATAATTAACTCAGTTCAATAACTAGCAGGAACCCCATTTTACAGATGAAGAAACGGGCAAAGAGAGGTTAAGCAATTTGCTTGAAATTATGTAGCCAGTCAATGGTGTAGCTAGGGTTTGAACCCTTGCAGTCTCGATCCAGAGATCCTGCTTCATACTGCCTTATCTGTAATTGATAAAATTATTTTAAAAGGTAGTGTTCAGATAGGCCTTGTCTTTGAGAGAAGTCTTATGTTACCAGGTAGTAATATCTCATACTGCTAGGACTGTTTTCTAAGGGTCACCAAGAATATAATGGTGGAAGAGAAAATAGAAACCTCTAAATAATACTTTAATATCATTTTTGACTTCCATTTTTAGTGTAAAAATAATGCACATGTTGGAGAAATCACAAAATACTGATAAGGAAAAAAGTAGAAATCACTCATAATCACACCTTCAGAGATAACTATTATTTATATTTTGTGATATAACTTCCTAATCTTTTCTGTCCCATTTTTGTTTGTATATATTTAAAAATATTCAAGTGGATCCCTACTGTACATAGATCAGGTTTTTCACTTGTGAATTTTTTTTTTTTTTGAGGAAGAGTGGCCCTGTGCTAACACCTGTTGCCAATCTTCCTCTTTTTCTTTTTTCTCCCGAAAGCCCCAGTACATAGCTGTATATCACAGTTGTAGAGTTGTAGCTCTTCTATATGGGATGCTGCCTCAGCACGGCTTGATGAGTGATGAGTAGGTCCGCACCCAGGATCTGAACTGGCGAACCCCAGGCCGCGGAAGTGGAACTCGAGAACTTAACTGCTACGCCACTGGGGGCTGGCCCCTTTCTTGTGAATTTTTTATGTCAATAAATATACTTCTGCAACATCATTGTGAATGGCTTTTGACCGAGTATTATCTTAACAGTTTTGTTATCTGACAGCCTGACTTAACGTTATGCTTTTTTGCCGGGAAGGGAGTGGAAGTAAGTATGGTCATCTTTTCAGAACTGTAGTTTTGAGAATTGCAGATACTTGGCTGGCCTTAGTTTGTATTCCCATCTGATATAGGATTGCTTTTGTTTTACATTATTGAGTGCAAAATAATTAGTGTGATTACTTTTACCATTATTGGCCTTTTTTTTCCTCGAGGTAGTTGCAGAGTTTTTGTACCTTTGGAGTTTCTAATGTATGTACTTCTCTTCAATTGTCAATTTGATTAGGAGCTATTGAGGCAAAGTAGCTATGTGTTACTTCTTGGAAAATATGAAAAACTGTA